GGTTAAGCATGGATGGATGTTACAAGCTTCAGTGAGCTCGTACGGCCCAAACGAACCCGGAGGCCAGCTCACCCTGCGAATGTACGTCCACTCCTGTAGTGGGCACCAATGTCCACTCACTGAGTGGAAAATGGCGTTGCACCTAACACGCCATTGCAGCAAATAATCAATTGGAGTACGAATAGGTTGTTCTTAAAAGGTTCTCCTGTGCACGCGCTTTTTGAATCTTCAGGCTTGTCGCACGGCAAAACAATAGTACCCCAGCAACCCTAACTTGATTTCTATTATTATAATAGTAATAATTACAAATGCGTTGTTTGCGTACATACAGTATGCGCTTGTAGGCAGAAAATTTAGGGGGGATGTCCAGACGTTATCGTTCTATCGCGGAGCAACTACTCAACCTTCCAAGGACCTCCCGTTCTCATAGCACCCGTGCTGACAATACACTGGGGGTAGCCCGGCCTGTGCAAAAAAAAAGATACGCTTGATGATTGGGTAAAGCCCCGACCGCCCAAGCGGCCTCGGAAGCGTCCCGGCAGGGAGTATTATGAGGAACTCAGTCGCTCAACCGCTGCCAATGCGGCAGCGCGTGCCGCAGCAGCTAAGTCTTCTGGAAACGCTGATCCCGATCTGCCCGCTCCAACCATTGAGGACAACAACGGGCAGCTACCATCTCTTGACGGTTCGACGAGCCTGATGTCAACCAACATCGGCAGCAGCAACCACCCCGTCCACAACCCCAGGCGGGTTCTCGTAGGGGAACTGTTGAGGAGGCAAACGCCCGACGGCATGCCAACTGGCAGCGGTCATACTTTAACTTCGGCCTCTACGGCTTTGCCTACTTTGACCGAGGTGCCGTAGGCTCAGCAGCCCGCCTACAGGCCTACCTGGAAGCTGAATTTGATGCGCGGGCACGGGACCGGCTTCCAGAGCTGTGTCTGCAGTGCCTGACAGCGGACTGGGCAGAGCGTGAGGGTCCACCCACAGCACCATCCACCCAGACAGCTTCCGGGGAGACCGTCCGCTTTGTGGCAGTGCAGGGGAGCATTGAAGCACCATATCCATGCTTCAGGTGCCGCCACTGCCCAGCCCAGCTGCCGTTTGTTCGGCAAGTTCACCCTCTGGAGATTGGGTGCTTTCCAAGCACACCAGACCGGCCCGTCGCCTGGTTTGACTGGGGGCTGATGCAGCAGGTCTGCTTCCTGCGTGCAGAGAGTCCATGCTCAGCCTCAGCATACTCCAAGATGCTCCAGCGTCAACACGCGATTAATGGGCTTCCCACCCCAGCAGGCATCGCAGATGCAGTTGGAACCGCGGCCGCCCATTGGGACAGGGTACAGAGCCTGATGCGAACCTGTGAGCTCCTGGGTGTAGATGACATCCTTGCCTTGGAGCCTAGCAATGCCACCAGAGGAGCCAGTACCTCGGATGCTGCTGCTGGTGCAGTAGCAGCAGCTGGTGGTGGCCGCTGGATGGACTGCCCTGCTTGCTGGCGGCAGTGTGTTGCTGTGTCAGGCGACGCATGCCTGGGCCTTCGGCACTTTAAGGCTGCGGCCAGTGGCTCCCTCGACCTGCAACCCCTCGCGGCTGGTGATTTGTTTATCTCGGAGAAGTTGGTGATGGAGCGCCTGAAGGAGCGTGGAAAGATGGCGGACCCAGATGCTGTTTCTTGCTCTAAGTTCAAAGCTGCAAAGGTCTTCGGGCGGCGTGCTGCAAACTATGATCGCCTTGGTGTCGCAGCATTTGCTTGTAGGCATGGCTTCGTCCCGGCCATGGTGAGCCTGCATACAGAGGAGGACTTTGTGTACTACGAGGTGCTGCTGGAAGCTCTGAAGCAGAGGATGGATCTGGCATCTGTCAAGGCAGTGTTCCTGGATGTCGCGTGCAAGTTTGAGGGCTACTACAAGAGGTAAGCTTTCTGGGGACACAATGTGCACATGCTCAAGTTAACCTGAGTTGACAGGCTGAGGTCTCCATTTTATATCCATCCCTGGGGTTGGTCAGGGTTTGGGAGTTTAGTCCCTTTCAGATTTTAACTTGAGTTAAGCTTTTCCCCTGCGAAGAAGCTGAATATCTGTTGCCTTGTTTTCCACAGGATCTATGAGGAGCTGGACTTGCCTGCTGGTCTGCCCTTCGCCATCGGACCATGGCACATCCGACCACACAAGCCTGAGTGCAATGTCCGCTGCAACTCACGCTACATGCCTGGACTGGGGCTCACATTCGGGGACCTAATCGAGCACCTTTGGGCAGACAATCGGAGACACTGGTACATCACGGCGTATATGTCCCCAGCTGCACGCCAGGACTTCATCAACGGGCTGGTGAGTTTAAATCTGGGTGATTACAGCATGAATAGTGTTTTTGCATGGATGGAAAGTAGCGGTGTCCTCTTTATGTAGGTGCGCGATCGCCATCGGAAAAAGGAGGAGGGCCTGGCTCGGCAGCTGCATGCGGGTCTGCAACATGCGCTGAAGTTTGAAGAAGGAGATTGAGGACAGGTATGTTGGTTTACAAGCTTGGGCTTGGTATGGTGGGCCCAACTTGGCTTGGCTTTGAAACGTTGCCTACTTAAAATCATTGATCTTGTATCTTGCAGGCCGGCACTTGAGGGACGCGGTCTTCCCCTGGTTGATAGCACCACCCGAGCAAGAATGAGCGTGGCTTTCTGTTTAAGCGTACTAACTGAGGCCGTGTGTCCAGTGAAGTTAGTACGGCCTGGCCGAGTTCTTTTTGAATAAGGCCCACAGTGTTGTGCGGGAGGCGCTCCTATGGGCGCTGCACTCGACCCGTTCGGGGTCCACTGTAACAATCGCATCTCCCAAAGCCCATGCTGCGAGGCGGACCACCGGAGCTGTAGCGCTTGACATGTTGTTATTACTTATAACGCCTTGAGCACAGCGTTCTATCACCATAATGAGCACCAGAATGCCACTACTTGTTGCTATGTTAATCGGTGCACGCAAGAACGTAAGTACAAAGCCTTCAGTGAAGAAAAGCGTTTGACCGACTCCTCGCTCGGCCGACACCTATTTGAATCTACAGCCAAAAGGAACCTTCGAGAAAGTTCATATCCCTCTCGCACATTATCCAACACAGAAAAAGCAACAGGACGTGATTCTACTCCCACACAGAAGCACGAAAGAAAAAAAAACTACTGAGGACAAAACATAATCCCAAAGTCCAGCGCACACATATACCATCCAAACGCCACCGGCCCCAGCCAGTCACATTATTTCGCAAGGGCGCCAATAAAAATAAAATACACTGCACCCAGGTGCATCCAGGCCCCTCCTTTCTCACAAGCCCGTAGCAGTGGAGAACAGGCGCTGGTTCATCTCCCCCCAATCCCAACCACGCGGGTGCGACCGTGGCGGCAGCGGCGCCTTGGCCAGTAGTCCGTCCTTGAACACCGCCGCCACCGCACCGCCCCCCGGAGCCGCCAACACCGCCACGTCAGCCAACGGATCCAGCCCGGGCCGCAGCAGCAGAAGGTCGGCTCAGTTTCTGAGGCGTGACACGGCGGCGGCAGGGCACCGCACGCATGAGCATGTGCACATGCGCATATATGCGGATATTATATTACTGTTCCTGAAATCCCTCAAACATTTGGGAGGAAATTTTTATTTATTTTCGGAGCTATTACGGCGATTTGGGTTTCTGGGGGAGGAGAGGCTCGTTCGTTCAGGCTCTAGCGTTTTTGTGGAACTGCGATTAGGGTTATATATATTAATTGCTCCGGACAGCGCGCGCCTCATTTATTGCACGATTGAACAAGTTGCGAAGTCACCCTTTTCTTTTCAGGAATTTAAAGCCAAGATATATATCTTCACAATATTTTTTCACTCATGTCAGTCAGCTTGGCCTTTACGGCAATTTTACTGCAGCCGTTACCCCACCCCGCTCTCTCCCACTATGACGTGCTCACAGCATATGCACATCACTGCGCAATAGTGAACTACTAAATATCCATGTAATGTCGTACGTGTGTCGTACATGTACGAACTGACCTTCATCCCGAACAGTGCCGCGCAATTGACGGTGGCCGAGCGCAAGATGGAGGCGGATGGCAGCACACGTGCTCGTAGCTCGAACTCGCCAGCCTAAGGTAATGCACGCGCGCGCATACATATGTGTTCAATACATGGGTTCGCTTTTACACACACACACATACATACACATATACACATACACACACGCTCACACACATATACACGCATACACACGCATACACACGCACACTCATGCACACAGGACGTCAAGATATGTCAGCCATTTGTTA